CTACTTAAAAGACATTGTCGTATAGAAATAAAATAATAATAAATAACAAATAAGAATTAATTAGATTCTAATATTATTTTGATACTAAAGCCCCCTATATTGATGATAATAACTGGTTTAGTATATACTAACAAAATAATATCRAAAATGTCTGTCTATATGCGAATGCGTCGCCTTTTGCCAATGGTTTCGTATGCGAGTAGATATGAAATGAGGGTTCTGCAACATCCGGAGCCCGGAGCCGGCGGAGCCAGGTTACCACCCCTCCCCCACCATTTTTCGGAGCCGGTGGAGCCAGGCCCCAGACCACCCCACTCCTCCCCCACAATTGTTACTGACTGCAAAAATGAATTTAGGAACAAAAGAGAAGGGGCTTCTTTTCTAAGACTCTTGTTGAATAACCATTTTTAGCGGTTCTACGCCATGAGGAGCGAGGAGCCGGCGGAGCCAGGCTACCACCCCTCCCACACAATTTTCCGGAGCCGTTGGAGCCAGGTCCCAGACCACCCCACTCCTCCCCAACAATTTTTACTGACTACAAAAATGAATTTAGGAATGAATGAGTTATGGTCTCGTTTTTAAAATCCTTGCGGTTCTGCGCCATCCGGAGCCCGGAGCCGGCGGAGCCAAGCTACCRCCCCACCCCCACAATTTTCCGGAGCCGGTGGAGCCAGGCCCCAGACCACCCCACTCCTCTCCCGCGATTGTTACCGATTGCTTAATAATGAATTTAGGAACAAATGAGAGGGGGATTCTCTTCTTAAGATTCTTGTTGAATAACCATTATGATGGGTTGATACTTTATTGACCGCTAGATATTGTTTTGGAAATATATAAATTCATAATTTCATTCAGTTCGCATGGGGTTGATCTAATCTTTAGTGTTTATTGCAATTTAAAAAACATTTWAAAAAATTGTTGGGGAGGAGTGGGGTGGTCTGGAGCGTGGCTCCTCCGGCTCCGGAAAATCGTGGGGGAGGGGTGGTAGCCTGGCTCCGCCGGCTCCCCGCTCCTCATGGCGTAGAACCGCCATTTCATATCTACTTATGTGACTAGAATTGTTTGTTGGTTCTCTCCTGTGCTTCGAGGGTTTTTCTCCGGGTTCTCCGGTTTTCTCTCTCTGCAGCAATCAACTTCTAAATTCGATGTTAGGATGTATTCTGGATAGGGTTACCTCACTCTCCTTTCGTACCATGAAGCAAATCATTAAATTGGTTACTATKTTTTTAACAGTGGAATGATTTCACTTGTTTCTCTTAAACAATTTATTCCTATTTTTATATGACAAAGTCCTATTGGTTATATATAAAAAATAAACAGACCGCAGACAAACAAACAAGACAACGSAAAGGTTTTCAGTTCAAAAATATAAATATTCAATACTTCTAACATAATAGCTTAAAGGAATTAAGATGATAACCGACCTTTTTTGTGGTGGGCATCAGGTCAAAACCAAGCGGTATAACACGGATTTTGACTRAAAAAAATGACAATTTATATTAGTTCAAACTATTAACTAATGCATACAAATAAATATTGTAGTTATATAATTTTCTCGTGGGCTACGAGGGTGCCACGTGAACATCACGTGAACATCACGGTAGCCGTTCTGAGCGGGCAATGGTGCGCCTCGGGGATTCACCTAGGGACTTCGTCTCGAGAAACATTACCATTTCTGGACCTCAAGCACGTCGGTCCCAGTCACTGTTATAATTACATATGGCATATCAAGATTAATAATAATGTTATTAGCCCGGTTGTCAGTTGTGTCCATGATACTGACCCCTTTGTTTCGGCGTGTAGATGGGTTTATCGGTTTGAATAAGGATAACGCCATCCTTGAAACTAAGCAGTATTTTGGTTTCCTTGTGGAATCGTAATGTTTGATCATCAGATTTGGCAACAAGATAAACGTATTGTTTATCTACTGCTGCTTGGTCACGAGTGTTCTCGGGATCAACCTAAATGCAAAGAAAAATTACGCTTTAATCGTAATAAGTAATCCAATAAGTAAATAAGAATGAAACATAAAAATAGAGTTAAAAAAGGTTTAAAACTGTACGGACGTTTCGAACGTTAGTGCTTCGTCGGAACAAAAAACTGGTCGCCGTTTTCCTTTTCGAGACATCGTGTCGCAAACTTCGCTTGTTTTTTGTTTTTTTGTTTTTTGTCTCAACAGTTTGGGAATAACACCACCTCTGATCTAATACAAAAAAAAATATCAAAAAGTGTGAACTTGTCTATCTATGTTGACAACGTACCCTTACTGTGAGGAACTGTGGAACATCTGAAGAAAAAAGAAAATACAACCTGTCATTATATATTTATGTATTTGGCAAATAAGATAGCAAATTAAAATACATGACATAATATTTATCAGAAAATCGTAAATCGGATCGCATYAGCATTGTTACTAAATATCGCGAGTTCTGATTGGTTCAGCGGACGCGTCAATCAATAAATCAGTTAACTTTATTTTACCCACGGTAGACGGCTCAGCAAGCTGATTTTCAAACATGCCGTGCTTCATGTAGAGTTAAGAAAACGAGTAGTAGCACACAGTTCACGTKCACACCCTTTATTTCGTCATTCTTATCCAAAATAACAGCTACTCTAAGTTACATTTTATAATYGAAATATTGTATAAAGCACTTGTGGTTTATACATGTCAATACGCCCGCACTTTAAAACTGCACACAGCATGCGTGCGCGTTTTTGATTGAWGAAATAGAAAACGCTCGCCCTTGCTGTGTGCCTTACAACTCCACACAGCACAGCAAGCAAGTTATTTTATTTYCCCTCTTAAAATACAAATTACAATAATTGTTATTTTAGATATAAATAAMTCAACTAGAAGTTTGCGAGCGTGATGTGGGTTCTCATAAGGATACCCTTCCACACAATGAGAACGCATTATCAAAACACGACATTTAATAATTTCTCACAGGAAAATGTCTGAAGAATAATCAATGCAAAATACTTGTGCGCATCTTTTCAATCTTCCTTTTAGTCATGTATGAAGCACATGTATGAACAAGGGTCATTTTACTGAATATCAAAGAATAGTCGACATCAACAAAAGTATTATGGTGGCTGCCTAACAAAGAAAAAAAAAACATGAAAACGTTTTTAAAAGATAATTTTTTAAACCCAAGTTTAATGCTAAGATTAATTCTAGAAAGAAAAAGGCTTTGCCCTTCGGTTGTTATCGAGATATCTACGACAAAACACAACCTTATCAACCCCGTCTTGAAGGGGGAAAAAACAAGAAACAATGTCCTATAAAAGTTCAAAACGTGAACTGTTATCAAACTTATTTTACTTTAATTTTTCAAAAATAAAACAAATTATACATTGTTTTTAAAATTTTACAAATATAAGTAAAAAGATTTGGGAAGTGTTGAGAATTATAGTACTACATGTTATTTGTATTGCGCTTGATAATTTTTCAAAAAATAAATAGATAAATAAATAATTAAGTAAAATGAAACAGTTAAAAATCGTACACAGCGCGTTTTGTCATTTTKTTCAACTTTCTTAACAGATTCTTTTTTTATGCACTTTCAGAAATTGGGGGGAAAATATAGTCTCGTGCCAGATTTGACATATTTGCCCTGTTAAAGTTCAAAACGTGTATAGTTTTTCAATAAGAGCTTGAAGTTAGCGGCTTTTCTGCGTAGGCACATCGTGGGCTCAAATTGCCGGTCTCATGGCGTAATAAAGCATTGAATAGAATCATGCTCATCTTTTTTTTTTTTTTCGATACTAGGCAGGCACCTTAAATGTTTGTTTTTTTTTTACACGCGTACGATTCTAACCTTTTTGAAATACTGCTTGAACGGAAGAGAATGTTTTTCGTCTATATGGAAAGTCTTGAAGAAAAAGTCGTACTGTTATCGGTGAATTGATTCCAAAGACGGTAACAGAGACGTTTACTGGAGTACCCACGTGAAAGACGTTTGGAGCTGWAATAAAGTACCTGGTAGAAAATTCAAGGTAAAGTTAAGACATCTGGAATGTATATACTTTCAAATACTAATTGATATACACCCCTCCTCCGTGATATTAAACTATATAGTCTACTAATATATATATTTAGGCACTGCCTAAAAGCGGAGCTCCCGATACGAAATTAGGGAGCCAGGGAGCCCAATTTGAATGAATCTGAAAGGCAAAAAAAAAAGATCGGGAAACTGAAATCTTCAACTATTTTTATTCGAGATGAAGATAACGTATCCCATAATAAAAACCATGCATTGAAATCGAATCAAAATGCACTACATTGTTTTCTTTGTG